ATGCCCTGATTTAGTTAATCCTTTGGAGAAGGCCAGAAAAGCACAGGGTTAAAAAAAAAAGAAGAAAAGAAAGACTGAACAGAAAACTGAGTGTTTCCTGGATCCCTGAGCAGACTTTGGGCACCGGAAAGTGAGTGGATGATAAATTAACTAGAAAATATGATTGTTGGCAAAGATGAGGGCTGGAAAAGGGATAGGGTGAATAGGCAACAAGGTCTCTGGAAGTCCTTGAAAGATCTGGAATAGAATAGAGTTGGAGGGGACCTTGGAGGTCTTCTAGTCCAACCCCCTGCTCAAGCAGGAGACCCTACATCGTTTCAGACAAATGTCGGTCCAGTTTCTTTTTAAAAACTTCCAGTGATGAAACACCCACAACTTCTGGAGGCAAGCCATTCCTCTGGTTAATTATTCTCACTGTTTCTCCTTAGTTCTAGGTTGCTTCTCTCCTTGATTAGTTTCCATCCATTGTTTCTTGTTCTGCCTTCCGGTGCTTTGGAAAATGAGTTGTATCCTTATTTTCTGTGAATTATCAGCAGGGAGAAATCAAAACGGACCCTCTGTCCGTCTGGTCACCAAAGGGTAGGCTCTCAACTCAGCAAAAATCTGATTAAATGTTCCCATTCAACTTGCATCAATGTATAGGTGATCCGACTGGTCAAAGTCTTTTGTCGGGACTTTTTTCACTGAATACTGACAAAAAGTGTGCTGGTAACGTCGTAGGAACACCAGTGCACTAGTTTTAAGTCTGTTGGCAGTTGATTGGGTCAAGAAAAGGATAGGACCTATGATTGACAAACCAAGGGAAATAACCCAATTCGGAGTTTCGCTTAAAACGGTCGACATCCTTTCGTCTGGCTCCACTACCCAAATCAAGAAAGTGCCACAAATTGCGTACTTAGATTTTGCAAGGTTTGTTGCTGACCCGGTTAATCCAGGTTGTGTGAATGTGCGCTCGAGGTGACAAGAGAGAAAGAGAGGAAAAAGTCACAGAGAAGCAACTGTGGGACTTACTTTGTTGATTTCTTCTAACCTCCCTTCTTGTTCAGCTTTCAGTAGACGGAGTGCTTTTCCTCCTGCCGGAAAAGTCGAGAGAAATCACCGACTGAACAAGTGCAGCAGATCAGATTTTTTTCCCCGCTCTCTTTCAACCCCAAATATGACATCCCATCGAGAAAAAAAAGAATCTTTTTCTTGAGAAGATTTCCCATCTCAAAGTCAAAAGAGGAGAGAGAAGGAAATAGCAAACCTGATCATCCTTTAAAGGAGTGGGAGGGGGGAGGGAGATTGAAACTGTGCCCCCTAAAAAAAAGACCCCCTCTGCATTCACCACAAGCAACTGTGTGTGTCCGGGAAGCAACTGGTGCGCTTTTGAAGTTCTCCAACACCACCGCTTGCACACTTGCACGCCCACAGACCCATGCAGGGACCCTTCCCCTCGCCCCACGTACCTTGGGGGGCATCGTTGAGCATCACAGACATGGTGGGATCCTGGTGGCCGGTCGTGGAGGGTGGGGGTGGGGGGATTGGCTGGAAGCTCTCTCTCTCTCTCTCTCTCCTAGCCCGCACGTTGTGTTGCTTTTCTCCCGTCTCCGCCACTGCCAAGCCAAGAGGGACTCGGACTTTTGTGCACTTAAAGCCAGCCCATTCCTCTTCAATGAAGCCATTCACAAGTCGGGTTGAGTGAGTGGCGGTTCCTCTGCTGGGATTGGGGGAGGAAGGCTTGGCCAGCGCCCCACGGCTGGGGCCTCCCTCCCCCTCCCTCTGCCGTTGCAAAGCAGGCTGGCAAGTTAACCCCTTCCTGGGTTATGCCAGGAATGCCTTGCTGCGGGCACTGATGGAGGCGCTTCGAGAGTTATAGTCACCAGGAACTTACTTTCACACAACGCAAGACGTGGGTTCCCCCAAGGGGGCCAAACAACCTTAGAACGAAGGAGAAACTTCATGACAGTGAGAACAATTAATCAGCGGAAGGGCTTGCCTGCAGAAGGTGTGGGTGCTCCATCCCTGGAGGTTTCTAAGCAGAGATCGGACAACCAGTTGTCTGGAATGGGAGAGGGTCTCCTGCCTGAGCAGGGGGTTGGACCAGATGACCTCCAAGATCCCTTCCAACTCTGTTATGCTGTTAACTTCCCCTTGCTCCGGGCTGTCTGTTTCCTAACTTGGCTGAAATAAAAATATGCTTTTGGGAAGTTCTACAATGCACAGGCTCGGTTTGCGGGGGGGGGGGGAGGTTTGTTGGTTGTGTGTTCACAAAATAGGCTCAGGCTAAGCCTAAGCAGTTGAGGAAGCTGCTTTCTGATATGGTGTGGTGACAACCGCTCCCCCCCTTATTTTTTTCCATGTCTTGTGTGATGACTGGTTCACACAACTTCCTAAGAGAGGAGTTAGGTCACACAACACTTGAGAAGGTGCCCTGCTGTGTTGATTAGGTGTAGATTGAGGTCTGAAGGCAGACACAAGAAAGGAAGAATGGATGGATGGATGGAAACAGGGAGGGAGGGAAAAAGAGAAAGAAGGAAGGAAGGAAAAAAAAGAAAGAGAAGGAATATAGAAAGGAAGGGAAGGAGGGAGGGATGTATGGGAAGAAAGGAAGATGACAGGAAAGAGGGAGGGAAGGAAAGACCCGAGAGAAGGAAGGGAGGAGAAAAGATATGAGAGATGGAGGAAAGAAAGAAAGAAGAAAAAATGAGAGAAATAGATAAAGAAAAATGAGAGAGGAAAAGAGAAAAGAAAGGACAGAAGGAAAGATAGACAAAAGAAAGAAAGATAAAAAGAAGGAAGAAGGAAGCAAGGAAAGAAGAAAGGAAGGAAAGAGAGAAAAGAAGGAAGAAAAGAGAGAAAGAAAGAAAGAAAGAAAGAAAGAAAGAAAGAAAGAAAGAAAGAAAGAAAGAAAGAAAGAAAGGAAAAGTTCATCCCTGTTCTATTCTGCTTTCGAATTTCCTGGGAATATTTTTTTGTTTGTTCAGAAATGCAACTCAGCAGGCATTGGCCAAGGCCCTTCCTGACCCCCACCCAACTTGGTTAAGCCAAGATTCTGAATCACCATCTGAACGGCCCAACGCAGCACTTATTATCAGCTGCATTCCTGGAGACCTCTGTCAACTTCGTCAAGGACGGAGAGAGCAGACACCGGTGTCTCCTCCACCCTGCCCATCACGTAGGTCCCCTGCAGATCCAGGAGCCGAATCAGGTTTTTCCTCTTCCCTCCCAAGTCCCTTTTTCTTTAAAGCTTTATTTTTCAATAAAGCTTTCCTTTATTGCAGCTGCCCAAAGAGTCGATAGCTGCTTGTGAAAGAGATCAAGAAGCTGGATACAGGCAGTCCTCAAGTTACTACAGTTCATTTAGCGACTGCTTGAATTTACAAGGGCACTGAAAAAAGGGACTGATGACCATTTTTTCACACTTACGACCGTTGCAGCATCCCCAGGGGTCACGTGATCCAAATTCAGAGGCTTGGCAACTGGCATGTACTTAGGACGGTTGCAGTGTCCCTTTGGGGGTCACGGGGTCCCCTTTTGCAACATTCTGACAAGCAAAGTCAATCAGGAAGCCACATTCACTTAACAACCGGGTTACTAACTTAACAACTGAAGATATAAATTTTCCTTTATGGTCTGATTGGTGTCAGCACACCCATCGGAGCCTCTAAATCATAGTTTAGGGATTACCACGTCAGGCCAACCCAACCCATCATGGCTCACAGCTAAATATAGTGTTATTAACCCAGCCTAAAATTAATCTTAAGGGAACGGTGTGGCTGTTAATTTGAACCACTTGGTATTCTTGCTGAGCAATTTTTGTCTAGTTCTTTCGGGAGCCAGCACCAAAGGCGTCATTTAAATATTTAAAATGTAAATCGATCGATTTATGCATGCGGGGAATTAGGATGTAAAGAGGATAATAATCCCTCTAGGGGTTAGATGGGCGTAATGTGGAGTTAGCCTTCCATTTGCTGATCCTTACAAATAAAATTCCAGAGTCCCGCCCAGGCTGGGGGAAAATAAATAAATAAGGCATTTGTAAACATTCCCACCGTCAGCTATAAGATCTCGTTGCAATTTTAAAGCAGAATCGAGGAGCTGGGGTTAAGAAAAGAGATAGATTAAAAGACATGTCCGTACAGTACATATCCTGTATTCTTAGAAATTCAGATAAAGCTTTCCCGATTATATGGATGAACGTTAACTGCAGAGTTTCTCTCTTAAGCCGAACTTTCCGTGCCAGCAAGCTAATGAATTCCAGATTGCTGAATGCGAGAAAGATTGGCCGGGCCAATGTTCAACAGGGAGAGAAGCGCTCACAGTTTGCATCATAAAGCATGGCAGGTTTGGGTCTTGGTTGGCCAAGGCGTATTTTCAGGACAAGAGATGGGTAAATATCAGAGTCTGGATCTGATATTTCACACGCTGTGTTCATGTCCGTTTCATCAATGTGGGTCTAGTCAATTTCATACGGTCAATTTCAGAGTTTTGAGTCTGGTCAATTTCATCACTGCGGCTCTGGTCAGTTTCCCAGCTAAGAGACATTGCTTGCGTTTGTTGTTGGTGTGTTTGTTTTTTAAGCTTGCCTTAAACAAGATAAATGAGAATTTCTCTTTAAATATTTCTCAGACTTCTGAACCAGAAGAACTGGAATCCATCACAAGCAAATGCTACATCTCTGCACCCGATTTACTCCCGATTTTCATTTTTTCTGTATTAGGGTTCAAATCTCTGCCAATATCTCAGAATCTTTTGTTTTTTTTAGCACCAGAGTCCAAAACCCCTTGGACTGAAAAGCTGGAATTCTCAGTAAATGGCTGTTTCAGGTTTCTAGTCCTCATGACGGCAGCAAATTTGGGAGATCTCCATTTCAGGGTTTGATTCTCACGGTGGGTTCGGCAGCCCAGAACGACAGAGGGTGCCCCAAGCTATTCTCTGCCCCTGACAAAGATGGCTCAGTCTGCCTCTTTTGCCAGTTGCATTCTGTGAACATTAAAAAAAAAAAAGGGTCTGTATTGATCCCCTCGGTGCCAGTCTTCAATCTACGCAATTTTGCAGGCATCCCCAGCCTCCTTTCAGCTCTAACAGCCGCTGGGCAGGCTCTGAAGAATGGCTTCTAGGTTCTGCTTGTCGCTCTGGATCTCCTCCAGGTCTTGTTCGAAGGCTTCCAGTGACGCCCGCTGCTGCTCCGCTTCCTGTTCCAAGATGCCCAGCGTCTGATTCAGGGCACCGGGTCCTGCCAGGCGCAGCCTCAAGTTTGCCAGCTGGACCTGGCTGGCATGGAGCACAGCCACAGACTGATCCAGGTTTCCTGGGGAAGCAGAACAGGGCATTGACACTAACCTCCATCAGCTCCGTCACAGCTCCAACATCAGCCCTGCTAGGTAGACCAGAC